AACCTCCTTGGAACATCCACAACTTCTGGTGGCAAGTTGTTCCACTGATTAATTGTTCTCACTGTCAGGAAATTTCTCCTGAGTTCCAGGTTGCTTCTCTCCTTGGTTAGTTTCCATCCGTTGCTTCTTCTCCTGCCTTCAGGTGCTTTGGAGAATAGCTTTGACCCCCTCTTCTTTGGGGCAACCCCTGAGATATTGCAATAAGGCATATATACCTTCCAAACAAATCCTGCTTGGGAAGGGAAGGGACAGCCTTGTTTGGCCCCTCGATGCCTTGGCTCCGGGTTCAGCAGACAGTCATCTCCCACAGCCCCAGCCAAAATCCCAAAGTGACGCCTGGAGGGGAAGTCTGGGGAGGGGACAGCCGGCTGGGATCCAGCGCCTTCTCTGGGGAGCTGTACTCCAATGAAACAATTAGCCCGAGCGGAAGTTGTCTTTCTGTCCTGCTGAAGTGGCAGGCGGCATCCTTGGCAGCCACGCTTTCCTTCCCAAAGCCCGTGCCACCGAGATCTGAATGCCCAGCGTCCAGCTCACCCCTCCCTCCCTCCCGGATTCTGCCTCCAGCCAAAGGGAATAAAAAGGGGTGGGGGTCGTCTGAGATCCATTTTTAGAGACGCTCAAAGAGGGGAGGCTTTGTGGCGGGGATACTCTGCAGGCCTGGAATCCTCAGAAGTTGATAGACCAGCCATTGTTGGGAAGCCATGGCCAAGGGATGGTCAGCAGGACAGGAAATGGAGAAGCAGCTGGCCTGCCAGAGAAGCTAACATCTGCCTGATGTAGCTTCAGGCCCAAGAGAGGAGGAGTCAAGGCGTTGAGATATAGCCCGGCCTTGTGTTGGGACACCCTTGCATTTAAGAGTTGGATAGGACTCGTAGGCCTTCTAGTCCAAGGGTCTCCAACCTTGGCAACTTTAAGACTTGTGGACTTTAACTCCTAGAATTCTGGGAGTTGAAGTCCACAAGTCTTAAAGTTGCCAAGGTTGGAGAGCCCTGGACTAGTCCAACATCAGTCTGGACAAATGGTTGTTGGGTCTCTTCTTGAAAGCCTCCAGTGATGAAACCCACACAACTCCTGGAGATAAGCTGTTCCACTGTTTCATTGTTCTCACCGTCAGGAAATTTCTCCTTCGTTCCAAGTTGGTTCTCTCCTCGGTTAAGTTTCCACATCCATTGCTTCTCGTCTTGCTTTCAGATGCTTTGGAGAGGAGGTTGACTCCCCAACCCCTCTTCTTTGTGGCAGCCCTTCAAATATTGACTGACACCCCCCCGCTCCTCAAATATTGGCTGAAATTTAGCTGGTGGGTTTCCATGACTGGATTTTGCTGGTGAAAAAAAATCAGTGGGAGGACCTCCTTAGTTAGGAAGTTGTGCCACGCGTGTTGAAAGCCACGTTAGATCATCTCTCATCCAGGGACATCAAAGCTGGGTTAGATGCTCTACTGCAGGGAATCGATCTGTTCCCTGCATGGCTTGCTCTTGCTTTGTACCTTGATGGACTTGTCCAGGGGACAGGGAAGTCTTCTTCAAGGCAAGCTCAGCTCCTGGAAACTTCTGCAGAACTTTCTTTTGGGGGGGGGGGTGGACCATGTGAAACTGTTGGTGCGAAGATTGTGTGCGTTTTGCCAGCTTTCCAATTCAGTTTCAGGTGTTTTTCAAAAAATATTTACAATAATCCATGGTAAATCTTACGATCTCTCCCACCCGCCTGTTACTACTCTGTGTAACATCCAGCTACCTTAAGGAAGCCACATCTGCTCATCCAGCTGCCCTATGCAAATGGCTGCCTTTACCAGTGCCCTGCACTTAAGACACGGGATGGCACGGGCTCAGAAGGACGCCAGCTCCAGGGGGCAACTGGCAACGCCTCAGGAACCCCCTCCCCTTTGCAAGCTGGCCCTTTAACAACATCCTTCTCCAGCAAGCCCAGCACCACCCCTCCCCATTTGGCACCAGACCTGACAGGCAATACACACACATACACACTCTCTGTTACTTTCTCTCTTTCTCCTTTTCGTTGTCTTTTTTTCTCTCTCTTTCTTTCTCTCTTTCTTTCTTTCTCTTTCTCTTTTTTGTTGTCTTTCTTTCTCTCTCTCTCTTTCTCTTTTTTGTTATCTTTCTTTCTTTTTCTTTCTTTCTCTCTTTCTTCTCTTTCTCTTTTTTGTTGTCTTTCTTTCTTTCTCTCTTTCTTTTTTGTTGTCTTTCTTTCTTTTTTCTTTTTCTTTCATTCTTTTTCTCTCTTTCTTTCTCTTTCTCTTTTTTGTTGTCTTTCTTTCTCTCTCTTTCTCTTTTTTGTTGTCTTTCTTTTTTCTTTTTCTTTCATTCTTTCTTTCTCTCTTTCTTTTTTGTTGTCTTTCTTTCTCTCTCTTTTTTTGTTGTCTTTCTTTCTTTCTCTCTCTATTTCTCTTTTTTGTTCTTTCTTTCTTTTTTTTCTTTCTTTCTCTGTCTTTTTTTCTCTCTCTCTCTTTCTCTTTTTTGTTGTCTTTCTTTCTTTCTTTCTTTCTTCCTTTTCCTTCTTTCTTTCTTTCTCTTTGTCTCTGTCTCTTTCTCTCTTTCTCTTTTTTGTTGTCTTTCTTTCTTTTTCTTTCTTTCTTTCTTTCTCTTTGTCTCTGTCTCTTTCTCTCTTTCTCTTTCTCCCTCCCCCCCTCTCTCTTAATCAATCAATCAAACAAACAGAATACAGCTGGGAAGGACCTTGGAGGTCTTCTAGTCCAGCCCCCTGTTCAAGCAGGAGACCCTTGACCATTCCAGGCAAGTGGCTGTCCAGTCTCTTCTCAAAATCCTCCCGTGATGGAACTCCCACAACTTCTGGTGGCAAGCAGTTCCACTGGTTAATTGTCCTCACTGTTAAGAGGTTTCTCCTTCGTTTCTCTTTCATTTCCCCTTTCTCTCTCTCTCTCTCTCTTCCACCATGCCCCAAAGACTGGATTGGGAGGGCAGGGAAAGGACAGCTAGGGACACATTGACGCCATCTTCACTGCTGGCCTGCTGGGATGACCAAAGGCCACTGCGATTTTGCAGCCGGCTGGGATAATGGAGGTGTGTATGGGGGGGGGAAGCCTCTGGCGTGTGAAACAGATGCTTCGACACCTTGGGACCATGCCCTGCAGGCTCAGGTGCCAAACCCCCTTAACGGGGTTACTTGACAGGGTGGTGCCATCTTCTTTTTCCAGCTGCTCTGGCACCCGGGGAGAGTTTGCATCACAAACCCAGGCCCGAGTTGGCTGGTTTGGCTTGCCAATAAAACCCCAGGATGAGTCTCACCCCAGAAGCAAAGGCCAAGTCAAATGGTTCACCACTTCCCTCCTCTAGTTACGACGGTAACTGAAGCTTCGTGATTAATGCGGGCGAAATGCTTAGCGGTTCTCCCTGCCTGTCCATTCTTGCTTTCAAAGGAAGGCAGAGAAAAGGCAGAGCTTAGTAGAGTTTGGAGGCTGGCTGGGCAGGAGATGGATCGGGGGGGAGGGCACCATTTTTGCATCTCTCCCCTGAGGTGGCTGGGTGGGGAGTTGGGGTCCCACCAGCACCTGGAAGGCTGCAGCTCCCAACCCCCCGAGAGGAAGGGAGGTTTATGGGGTTCTGGGACTCAGCTGGGCCAGAGGGGTTCAGCCAGTTCTGGATCAGCATCAGAGCCTTCGCTAAAATGGGGCTGGTGGGTTTGGGGGTTCCCCAATTCCTGGGAATACAGCCGAAGCATATACCGCCAATGACAGATGTCCTCCCTGGAGGGAAAACAGTCTGGGGATGAGATGGGTGGATATCTAGATTTGACAAATAAATAAAAAGGAGGGTTTAGATGAGTGTTTTCCAACCCTTGGCAAATTGAAGTTGTTTGGACTTCAGTGGAAGGGAGGGAGGGAGAGAAAGGGAGAAAAAGAGAAAGAAGAAAAGGAGAGAGAGAAGGAAGGAAGGAAGGAAGGAAGGAAGGAAGGAAAGAAAGAAAGAAAGGAAGAAAAGAAGAGAAGAAAAGAAATGAAAAGGAAGGAAGGAAGGAAACAGTCTGTGGATAAAAAAGAGAAGGAAAAAGAGAGAGAGAGAGAGAGAGGAAGGAAGGAAGGAAAAAGGAAAGGAAGAAAGGAAGAAAAGAAGAAAAGAAAAGAAAGGAAGGAAGGAAACAGTCTGTGGATAAAAAAGAGAAGGAAAAAGAGAGAGAGAGAGAAGGAAGGAAGGAAAAAGGAAAGAAAGAAAAAGAAAAGAGAGAGAGAGAGAGAGAGAAGGAAGGAAAAAGGAAAGAAAGAAAGAAAAGAAAGAAAGAGAGAGAAGGAAGGAAGGAAAAAGAAAGAAAAAAGAAAGAGGGAAGGAAGAAAAAGGAAAGAAAAGAAAAGAAAAAGAGGGGGAAGGAAGGAAGGATAGAAGAAAGAAAGAAAAGAAGAAAAGAAAGAAAGAGAGGGAAGGAAGGAAGGAGAGAAAGGAAGGAAGGAAAAAGGAAAGAAAAGAAAAGAAAAGAAAGAGAGAGGGGGAAGGAAGGAAGGATAGAAGAAAGAAAGAAAAGAAGAAAAGAAAGAAAAGAGGAAGGAAGGAAGGAGGAAAGAAAGAAAAGCAAAGAAAGAAAAGAAGAAAAGAAAGAAAAGAAGAAAAGAAAGAAAGAGAGGGAAGGAAGGAAGGAAAAAGAAAGAAAAAAGAAAGAAAGAAAGAGGAAGGAAGGAAAAAGAAAGAAAAGAAAAAAAAGAGAGAGGGGGAAGGAAGGAAAGACGGAAGAAAGAAAGGAAAGCAAAGAAAGCAAAGAAGAAAAGAAAGAAAGAAAGAGAAGGAAGGAAGGAGGAAGGAAAGAAAGAAAAAAAAAACGTTGTTTTCTTTTCACCGCCCCCTTCACACTTCCCTCCTTCCACTCCCCCACCCCACCCCCACGTGGGAGACCCGCGGCGAGCCCCAAAGTCCGTGGGGGGGACGACGACCCCCCTTCTCCCCAGCCCTCCCTTCCCCTTTTGTCTCCGTGGGCGGGGCGGAGGCGGGGGGAGGTTTTAAAAGCCGGGCGGGTCCGGCCGAAACGCGGGCGCGGGACGATCTCGGGGAGTGCGAGCTTCCTCCGCGGCCGCCGCGATGCTGACGGGCTGCGGGCAGAAGCTGCTGCTGTCGCTGCTGGGCTCCACGCTGACCTGCCTGCTGGTGCTGATGGGGCCGACCGCCGCCGCCGCGGGGCCAGGGCTTCAGCCTGGGGGGCGGCCAGGGGGCTCTGCTGCGCCGCTTGAGGAGCGGGGAGACCCCCGCACGGGACCCTCGCCCGCCCAAGGGCTCTTTTCGGCGGCTACTTCAGCCAGCTCAGCCGGGCCAAGAGAGAAGCCGGCGGGGGCAACGAGCAGCAGCAGCAGCACCAGCAGCAACCGCCCCCCGCCCGGGAAGAGATTTCGCCCCGGGACCTTTTCATCGCCGTCAAGACCACCAAGAAGTTCCATAAGGCGCGGCTGGAGCTGCTGCTGGACACCTGGATCTCGCGCAACAAGGAGATGGTGAGTGGGTCTCTGGGGGTCCCCCTTTGGGGAGGGGGGGGGGGCGGCTGCTTTTTTTTTTTTTTTTTTCAAATTTGATTTCTATGCCGCCCTTCTCCGGAGACTCAGGGCGGCTTACAATGCGCTAAGCAATAGCCTTCATCCTTTTGTATATTTATACAAAGTCAGCTTATTGCCCCCACAAACTGGGTCCTCATTTTACCTGCCTTAGAAAGGATGGAAGGCTGAGTCAACCTTGAGCCTGGCGAGATTCGAACCTGCAGAAATTGCAAGCGGCAGATGTTAATAACAGTGCTTTAGTCCACTGTTCATGGACCTTAGAAAGGATGGAAGGCTGAGTCAACCTTGAGCCTGGGGAGATTCGAACCTGCAGAAATTGCAGGCAGCTGTGTTAATAACAGGGTGCATTAAACCACTGTACTACCAAGGCTCTTGCTTTGAAACCCCCCTCTTGGGAACCCATCCCTAGCACAGGTCTCCTGCGTGAGGAGGGGGTTGGACTGGATGACCTCCAAGGTCCCTTTCCGACTCTACTGTCACTGTCACTGGCCGCTATCCAGGTGCTGGAAGGAGCGGCGCTCGGGGCATTTCCCCGGACAGGCCGGCCCTCTGCACTAGCCCAGAGGCGCTCTTGCCCGCCTCTGTCCCCAGCCCAAGCGCTCGCAAAAGCGCGGGTGCCTGGAGCGATGGGTAGGGAGGGCCCGCCGTGCCACGGGAGCGGGCGGCACGGGTGGGTGGGCGAGTCGAGGCAGGCTGGGCACCTTGATCTCCGCCCGCCCCGCCTCTGCCCCCGGGGCTGGAAAGTGAGGAGGCACGCTCCGGCCCGCGCTGCCTTCCCCCTGCCGCCTCCCGCCGCTCTCTTTCCCCTTCGCGCGGCAGCCGGCGGCGGTTGGAATCCGGGGGCCCGCCTTTCTTTGCACTCTGTGCATGCTCAGGGGTCTCCGGGGTAAAGACTTCTTGGCCGGCGGTGGGGGATCTGAGCTTCACCTTCTGGAGCGCCGAGGAGGGAGGAAGGGTGGGTGGGTTCTCCTGTAAGAGAGGAGGGAGAGTCCTTCGAGAGTAGGGCGGTATAGAAATCCAATAATGAAAATAAATAAATGAAATGAAAGATGCTGCCTTGGTTTAAGTCAAGGCTAAGGCAGGTTGCAGGTGGGAATTGACTTCTTCTCTGCGGGGAGCTTTCCTGAAGGGCTCTAACCTAAACCCCTGATTGTGGGAACAGGGCTAGAATTCAGGAATGGGGTTGAAGGGTTGTGTGAATGAATGCAGGCAGTGCTGCCTTTAAATCAAGGGTGGTCAAACTCAAAAGCCCGTTGGGCAGGATCCGGTCCGCAGGATGCTTAGATCTGGCCGACCTGGAAACAGCAAAGGACTGGCCCTCGTTGCCTCTGCCAGCTCCGATTTTGCTGGCAGAGGGTTGCAGGAAGCCATCGCGGCCGAAAACGGAGCTCAAGAGCCCGTTTTCGCTGGCAGTCTATTCTCGCTGGCAGCCCGTTTTCGCTGGCAGCCCGTTTTCGCTGGCAGCCCGTTTTCACGGGCAGCCCATTTTCGCTGGCTCGGGCCACCGTAGCTGCCCCCCGCCATCACGAGTGATGTCAAGCTGGCCACTCCTACCCTGGCCATGCCATCCCCAGCTCCCTCCCCACCCCCCCCACTCTGAGGTCAAACAAAACCCTGATGTGGCCTTCAATGAAATCAAGTTTGACACCCCTGCTTTAAATGCATGAATTGGGCAATGGTGGAGGGGGGGGAAGGGGCTGTACTAACTGGTATCCGGGGGAGGGAGAGCAAACCCTGCTCCGAGGCTCTAGAATAAGCTCTTTCCCCTCATTTTCTTCCTTGCTGGAGACAGTTGGTAAAAGTGGCTGCATGTTCACACCCTCCCTATGCCTAGAGTTATGTCCCCTCCCCTATTTCAAGTGACATTGTAGGCCGTCTCGCTTGGCTTGCTAGCAGCAGATGGAGGAAAGCTGGCTTCCGTGTAGATCTGCATAAGCGTCATCTGCTCGTATCAAAGCTTTAAACTGGTTAAAAAACAAACACACCCAAAACCTTACAGCATCTCATTTAGGACCTCAAAAAGAGGCGTAAAAGCAGTGGTGAAATCCACATTTTTTTTTACTACCGGTTCTGTGGGCGTGGCTTGGTGGGCGTGGTGTGGCTTGGTGGTGTGGCAGGGGAAGGATACTGCAAAATCCCCATTCCCCCCCACTCCTGGAGGAAGGATATTGCAAAATATCTCCATTCCCCCACCCCACTCTGGGCCCAGCCAGAGGTGGCATTTGCCGGTTCTCCGAACTACTCAAAATTTCCGCTACCGGTTCGCCAGAACCTGTCAGAACCTGCTGGATTTCACCCTTGCGTAAAAGGCCATGACAAAACAGATGGACCCTGTTTACATTGTGTTCGAGAAAGCCTAGGAAGTCACTCTATTGTCATACAGTTTTTGACTTTTTTGACTTGGTCTGATGGCCCTTCCTCCATTCTTGCAACAATTGAACCCATGCTCCTCCTCCCGAAACTGTGAACCATGGGTATTGGGGAAGGGAGGGGGTCGTGATGTCGTGGTTTTTTTTAATTGGTATCATTTGTTGAAAATGGTTGAGAGGAATCGGATTGACCTTCGGGGAGAGGTGGGGACAGGGACGGGGACGGCAAGTTTGCGAACCCCAGAAAGGGTGAAATCTAATCATCTCTGGATTGGTTTTCTCCTGACCTTAAAAACCACATTCCCACCACGGACTAAACTATGGTTTGTTTAGCTAAGAGTTAGTCTATCGACTGCCGTTGTTTAAAGTTCGTGCGACACCTGACCCCCCCCCCCAAACTAAGCAAAACCTGGCATGTTTCGTGAACTGTCCTCGATTCAACAACTCTGGTTCTGTAAGGGTTGCACACACAAACAAACAACACACTGGCACAGGTGTGCATTAATGTTTGTCCGTTTGCGCTGTGCAGGTTGAACAGATGTTCAGGCTCAGACTGAACTCTGGATCTGAATCAGCTGAATTTTTATCGCTTCCCAACTCTGATAAAGAGGCTAAAAAATTCACTGCACCTTTGCAAAGTTGTATTTGCAAGGAATGGCATGTTCCAAAGAGATTTATAAGCAGGAACAGAGAGTAATAAATCCTTTCCCCCCCACAAATTTTTTTTTAGCAAACATCAGCTAAAGATGCAGTGCCCTTCATTTTAAAGGATGGCCCGTTATTTCAAAATATGGCTCTTTTATTCATTTTTATAAAGTTTTGCTCCGTTTTTTTTGTTTGGTTTTTTTTGCGCTTGAATTTTTCCTTTGAGAAACAAAGTCGTAAACATAAGCAATTCATTTTATTTTTAAAAAAAATCCTTACAAACTGATGTCAAAATCTGCCCCCCTTTTCCAGTTTGTCCTTTTTATTTTATTCCCAAGAAAAATGTGGTCGTTGTGACAAGACTGTTAAAAAGAGCGTTGCTGGTTTCTCTAAGGAAGGAGAACCAGAATAATAGTATTTCTTCCCCCACATCCCCCCCCAAACCCCCCAACAATATAAAATGCAGAGGAACAATAAGAGTGGGGAATGGCAAGACCCCTCCCCCTTTGTGGCCTGAGCTTTAGGGAGTTGCTTGAATTGTTTAAAACCAGGTTACCTCGGGATCCCAGCCATCAGAATTACAAATTCTCCTTTTGTCTTGAGTTGCCTGTTTTTATTCATCCTGCCCCCCCCCCCCCGCCCCTCCTTCCCCCCCCCTCAAGGAGACAGTGCTGGGGGACCATGAAATGGCCTTTGAGCTTGTCAAATTAGAAAGTGGAAGTCTGGCCTTTAACTTCAAAGAAGAAGAAAAAAAAAGTTCTCAGCCTGGTTTAGGGCGAAAAGGAGGGTAACTTCTAAGCACCCTTTTGATTTACCTTTCTCCGGCCTTCATCCACAGAGATGTAAAGCAATTCTGGGCCTTCTTGTAACCTCTCACAAAGGAAGAAAGAGATGTTGGCCCACAGTCTCTTTCCTGTGGGATGCTTGGTGGCTTCTTGGCAGACGTTTCATTATCCAGATAGGTAACATCATCATGTTAGAAAGGAGGAGGATGTACAGCGTGGAGGAGGAAGAGGAGAAGGAGAACTATGGGGGTCCTTGGTTCTCTCTGAGCTTAGTGTTTTTCTTCCAGACATTTCATGACCCAACTAGGGAACATCATCAGTGCTAGAAGGAGGTGGGATTTGCAGAGATGAGGAGGAGGAGGAGAATGACAATGACAGTGGGGCCCTTGTGTTCTCTGAATTTGGTGGCTTTCTTGTAGACCTTTCACTACCACACTAGGTAACATCAGTGCTAGAAGGGTTTGTGGAGCGGAGGAGGAGGAGGAAGAAGATTGTAGGCTCCTTGGTGCTCTCTGAGTTTAGTGGTTTATTCCAGACATTTCATGACCCAACTAGGTAACATCATCAGTGCTAGAAGGAGGTGGGATTTGCAGAGTTAGCTTAACTCTTCCATTGCCATCCTTGCTTTTACTTTTCAGCATTTATCGAGTCTTAAAGTCTTGTAAATTAAGCAATTAAGCAGCTTTAGCTTAATTGCTAAAGGAAGAAGGGAGGAAGGAGGAGGACGACTGTGGGGTCCCTGGGGCTCTCCGAGCTTAATGGTTTCCTTCCAGACGTTTCATAACCCAACTAAGTAACATCATCAGCGCTAGAAGGGAGCGCAGTTTGAAGAAGCGAAGATGCTCCTAGAAGTATAGACATCTTTACTGAGCTTTCTCCTTTGCAGAGTGGTAGGACTACAGGCCCCATAATGGGGAGGGATTGAGAATGGCGGTCGTACATACCTAGAAGGGGCTGGCCTGGAGACGTTGCTGGGCCCTCCCATCAACGTCTGTAGATTTAGAGCCGTCTCACACCTGATCGGATTGGTAGACTTGCGGAAACTTTGCATTCTGCAGGCCCAGTTGGAGGAAAAAGCTGAAATTTGGATGGCCAGCTGCTGCGGTTCTCTAGGAGGGAGCAACAGGCCCCCATCTTGGGA